CTATTGTGTATTACAGTATTCTATGGGGATGGATACTTGCTAGTTGCCACGCTCAGCAGGAATGTTGGCAAGCGCAGTTTTTTTTAATTATTTCGAGTTGTTATGTGGAAAATGCTGCCCTTCATGATTCATTTTCCTTCATCGCCTCTAAGGCACACACGGAATGACACGGGACAGTAGAAAACGGTGATTAATATATTGAAAATATAACACCAATATAAAATTATAAAATGACATACAAATAAAGTTAAAATAAAAGACGCTACTTTGTTCGTCATTTTTTATTCAAAACTGATTTAGGTACTAATGCGAAAATTGTACATTGCTACTTGAAAGGAATTAGTAAATGCAATGCATCAAATAATTAAATGTCCATATTTTTTTTACTGATGTATCACAGCACTTGTCCTACTACTTGGCAAATACAAATAAAAATACTTCAAGGTTCAAGGAAATACAATAATTGTTTATTTGGTGCTAATTTAATAAAAATAATACTTAATATTTTACAATTATAGTTCATAAAAGATAGCTTGATCTCTGCGACAGGTGTCAGTAAAATCACGCATGATATGAAGTCCTGAATTTTTTAGTAGTACAGACACACAGTACATGTCAATGTCATACTTTATGGGCATGCCGACCTAATTAGTGCATGCCCATAAAGTATGACATTGACAGGTACTGTGTGTCTGTACTACTAAGAAATTTAGGACTTCATATCATGCGTGATTTTACTGACACCTGTCGCAGAGATCAAGCTATCTTTTATGAACCATAGTATGTACTTATCTATGTCCACAAATTTTACTGCAAACAGGGCGGGGACACTGGTATGAGGTGAAATATTTTGACATATTATTTCATGGCGGGTAAATTAATTTATTCCACATGTAAATATTATGCCCTTTACTGATTCATTATTTACATATTCTTAAAAATAGAATTAAGAAAGATTAAAGTGTAAAATATTAGAGTACATGCTTTGTTTTGTTTATAAATAAATACACTAAAAACCGAAAAATTTATTTTAAAACGCATCTTTTCAATGATACAATGAACAATGATCAACCCCAACTAAATGCACGGTGTGATGCAGGCAGATGTTTCACTTGGTCACTTCGTATCAAATGAAATAAAATGGCAATAATTCAAAATGTTAATGCTCGTGCGAAAAGTCCTTTTAGCTTTTTATTTTAATCCACGACTCTATTTTTACTTTACTTTCTTGACTGCCTTGTTGGTCTAGCAATAGTATTGACCCACGTTGAAATTCTGTATCTGGTCAAAATGAATGGTTGTTTTTTAGTGGCAGCCCGGATTTTCACCCCCGTGCCTCGGGAAGCACGTAAAGATGTTAGTCCTGTGCCTGATCTCGGGACGTACATATGTTGAAAGTACGTCGTGAGGATGCACCTGTGCTTGCGCACAGTAATCCTTTATTATAATTTTACTATTATTAACTAAGGCTGAACAAAATACATTTTTAACATCACACCGATATACAATATTTCAAGAAAAATTATACGAATTTACAATCAAGTTAACGTAATTGGCAAGTACCTACATTTAGAAATTGTATGTCGCTTTGCTATCTGAAAATCTATGGAGCTTAATGTATTGCGTTGTTTCAATATTAACCTCTAGATTATTGCAAACTGACTGTAAACACAATAACTTTTACTAATCAGCGAATCGCAAACTGACGATAAAAGCAATATAGCTCGAAGAACCTTTGAAATGGACAGGTATATGCAGGAACTCGATGGGCCCGTGTTGTGAAGCATTCCATTAGAGCGGCCTATATTCATTAGTGAACTTGTGATGGACTGTAATGATAATGACGATGGTAATTATACTACAATCTAAGCGCCCTAACGAGTTTACAATTTATACAATTCAATGTTTTAAATAATAAATAAACCATTGCCTTTTAAATATATACATAATTATCAATTATAACAAAATATTTATTACGGTGTTTACGTGAAAATTTGATTAAAATTAAGTACATTGTAAACTAGTAAAAATGCTTGTAATGTCTTTCTAAAAATCAACTTATTGATTCTGACAACTGATATTGTGTGATAGTTGATTTTTGAGATCTTATTTAACTGCGCCGTAAAAAATATTTCAAGTCATTTCCAGGGAAAAAATAATATACTGCAAATAGCGGAATTAATAATAGCGGCCAAAAATAAATAGCTACAATGCGATTCAAATAATAATAGGTCCGCGATCTATCAACTGTCACTTGAAAAGTACGGCTTGCAAAGAAAATTAATTTTCAACTAATATATTTAACTGACTTCTAGTATCACCAAAAATATTGGTATCATAATTTGTTTTAAAAATAATTTAAAACTTTTTTTTTCTATTTTATCGTTGGCAACATTGCGCAAAAACACAGAGGATCTTGTCGATTTTAATGTGCGCTGTCGTATGATTGAGTGCATGTGCTTGTGGGGTGCTACTGTTTCTTTTGATAATTTTGTTTATTACACGGTTGTTTCCTATTAAATTTGCTATGCGTTATTGTTATCCAAATATGACAAATTGTTTGTCGTGGACATTGCCCCTTACCAAAGCATGGAAGCCTCTAAGCCCTCAAATTTGAACTCGAAAAAAGCAGTAATGTAATCATGTCTGATAGAATAATCAGGAATATTTTACAAAAGCGAAACTCTACGAGTTAATAAAAAGACACAAACTAAAAAAAAAACTATGTCATAGTTTTTTTTTTAGTTTTTTTTCAACTCCCATGGTTTCGAAGTCTTGTGGTTGCCATCCTACAATTGCGATTTAAAAATAGTATAGCAATAGCAGACTAAACTGTTCAACAGTAAGCCAAATTGAAAGACTAACATTAGAAGCATTGAGCCTCCCCAGCAGCTAAACATTTGGCAATCAATATATCAAATATAAAAGCTTAAGCAAATTTTACGTATATCACACTAGTTTTTGTTTCACGTCAATACATGCAGTAATACCAAAGTTATTACTACAATAGTTCGGAGTAGTTTTTAGTTTCCCGAGATTTCGCATTTTCGCACTCTCGCGTTTCACTTTTCAGCCATTAACTTACGTACGCAACGGTCCAACACGCTTGTTTTTCCGCAAATTTGTTTTTTTCTTATATAGTTTGTAAGGCGGTTAATTTTAACAGTTTAACGATTTTACCTAAAGTAAATGATTTTACGATAGCTCAATATTTCATACAAAATAATGACTATGACAGCAATGTAAGCTTTACCGTATCTATGAAGTACCAGAAGGTTTGGCAGGAATATTGCATGTCATGTCGTTTCTTAATCAGGGCTGCAACAGGGCTAAGGGCCGCCTTAGTGGAAAAGTTAAGTAAGAAATAAATTTATGTGAAGTTGAAGCAACATCTTTACTCAGAATTTTCTTAATAATTACTACTTTTTAACGTTTTTCTACAACGGACCTTATATATTTTAATTTAACTGTGGCAAGCAAACTTGTAAGACACTACGCCTTTCTTAAGTTTCAGCAGTCCTCGTACTCGTTTATACATTTTGATCGTTATTTTAAACTTGAAAATAAAAATTAATTTATTTTATAACAACCTGTGTGGTGTAGCTCACTATCAGGGGCTGCGGGTTTAATTTCAGAACGAAAACGATTCTGGGTAGATTTATTATATGAATGATATTTTGGCATTTTTATAGCCATGTTTATCCAAAAAAGTTAGATATAGCAACGCACTCTTATGAACGTAACACGCTGATAGCAGTGTAATACGAAATGTGACATATAATCTCGAAACGATTAAAACTTTTTCTTTCATGGGTCTTTTGTATTTATTTGCAAATAAATATCTACTAATTAATATCTAAATAATATCTATACGTGGTAGAGCGACGCTACAGTTAGGGTAAGTGCACCAATGAATGAACACCCCCAGTGAATGAACAAAAAGTTTTTTCAATATAATAAGAAAAGTAAACATTTCTACCAAACACTGTATTTTTTTTTTCGAGTGGTCTAATTTTTTTTACGTAAACTGGTCACACAAACATTTGCCAGCGACCCGTAGTTACAAAATGGCGACTGCTTAAAGTGGACGTGTTGTGTTGTGTTTCGTGATTGTATGAGCGAGAATTTAGGACTCAGGTAAGACAGTGCATTTTGGTATTAGCGTTGTTCACGTTATATGAGTGACAGTGTAAAGAAAACTGCATAATAAGATAGAACAATGATTATTTTATTCATTAGAAAACAACTTGTTTATAATTTCATGTGTTTAATAAAAATAAAGGGGTGTTCGATTACTAGATCATGAAAGTGAGAAAGTTCTAGTAAATGAACGAGTGTTCATTCACTGGTTCTGGTCTGTTTTGTTACTTTTGGCTAATTTTGCATGTTTCTGTTCTCAGAATTGGTTTATTTTTTGTAGAAAGGTTTAATTATTGATTGTCTACCTTTAGGCCAGTATTCGAACACCCTAGTGTTCATTTACTAGTTTTTAAATCTAATGAATGAACTATAGTATTGTTGCTACGTTCATTTACTGGTTTTCAAAAACCAATGAATGAACTATAGTATTATTGCTACGTTCATTTACTGGTTTTTAAAATCCAATGAATGAATAAATAAACTATTAATGTTTTGTTATATTTCAAGCAGTGATATTTAGTTTTATCTCAGTAATTAGTTACAAAAAATATTCAGACGCTTCAACTTCAATTTCTCTTTTTTTTTTAGTTCAAAAATAATGGAATCTACTAAAAAGAAATACGCAAGATTCCGTTATACTCAACAACAGTTAGAGGAGGCTCTTACCCGTATAACAAATAACGATTTGTCTATTAATAAAGCCAGCAAAATATACGACATACCCAAATCAACGTTAAGTAATAAATTAAATAATAAAGTACCATGGCAACGAAAAATGGGTCCATTAACACAACTAACTTTCGACGAAGAAAAACAAGCTAGCAGACTGGATTTTAACAAAAGCTAAACTTGGGTTTCCAATGCACCCGGAAGAAGTTTATGATACTGTGGAAATATTCTTGAAACAAAATGAGAGGGAGAATAAATTTACAAAAGGCCGACCGGGGAAAAAATGGCTTACTTTGTTTTTGCGAAGACATCCCGAAGTAACTAAAAGAAACGCTGAAATAATATCAAAAGCTAGGGCAGCGGTTACAGAAGAGGCCATCAGAAATTGGTTTACTGAATTGAACAAGTTTTTAGAGGAAGAAAATGCCTTAGACATTAAAGATGACCCGACTCGTATTTTCAATTCAGATGAAACTGGCGTCATGACTTGTCTTAAAACGGGGCTGATTTTGGGGCCCAAAAATTATAAAAATACATACGAAATCGCAAGTGGGAAAGAAAAAGAATCAATCACAGTCCTATGTACATTCTCTGCTGATGGTACTGATGTACCACCGTTTGTTTTGTATCCATATAAAAGAATGCCACCAGCCGTAATTCAAAATTTCCCAGATACTTGGTATATTGGCCGTTCCGACAGCGGGTGGATGGTATCAGTTGTATTTTTTACCTACATTAAGTTATTTTATGAATGGTTGGTAAAAAATGAAATCCGGTTGCCTGTATTGCTATTTCTGGATGGCCACAAGTCCCATATCAATCGTGACATGTTTGATTTCTGTCGTGAAAAAAGGAATAATGATTTTCTGTTTATATCCCAACTCAACTCATATTTTGCAGCCCTGTGATGTAGGAATATTTGGACCGTTGAAGAAAAAATTGGAAAAGGGTAGTGAGAAAGCATAAACAGGCATCCACTGTACCTATAACAAAACAAAATTTTGCTGCGTTGTTTAAAATAGCTTACGACAGAAGCATTAAGCCAACTACGATAAAAAATTCATTTAGAGTTTGTGGTTTATATCCAATGTCTCCAGATGCAGTTGACTACTCACGCTGCATAAGTAATAGAAGGCAAGAAATTGCGCAACAAAACCAAAAAGGCACCACAACCTCTAGTCTTCATGACCAAAAAGAGGATCTACGAAGTACGATCAAGGTTATAGAAGGTGAAGTTGGCCAGATGATAAGAAATGAGTTTGTCATGTCTTACAATTTAAACCGTTCTCATCCCCATCAATATTTTGAGCTGTGGAAAAAATGTAGAAATCAACTTGAGAATAAAAAACAGAGTGACACGATAACACCGAATACCCCGATCATTCCTCTTGATCTGTCAGTATCATCTATAGAAGCATCTACTTCAAACGAGGACGATTCCAAACTGGAATCAAGCCAGGCACTGGAAAGGAATAGTGTTCCCGAAATCGTCGAGTCTGAAATTACAAATGTGGAAACTGAAGAAATGCATGCAACTAATAGTTCAATTATAATAGATTCGGCAATCCGACTGCCATCGGATAATTCCATATTATTGGGTGAGACTAGTATTTTACCCAATTTACCACCCTTTGATACAACTGAAGATGTCATAGATTTTATTATTCAGAATGAAATAGACATACCTGATGTGATACCATTGCCATGGTATGATACTTTAGAAATAATAGTAGAAAAAGACCCCATTATTGACGCTCCTAATAAATGCTCTTCTCCTCAGAATAACGCATCATCCATACCAGCCATTCCCAGTTGCAGCAATAACACTAATCAAGCAAAAAATTCGCTTGAGTCCACAGTTGATAGTCAGACTGCAATAAAGTCTGTAATAGATCCCACTAATAGTATTAATTCATCGAATGATACAAATCCATCCAATCCACTAGAAGGATTTTTGAAAATACCGGATTTACCACAAAAGAAATTTAAAGTTACAAAAAAAATGCCTGCACCTTATGGATTAACAGGGCTCAAATACAAAGAATATTTAAAAAATCAGGACGATGAGAAAAAAATTAAGGAGGAAGAATTAGCAAATAAAAGAAAGGAACGAGAAGAAAAAAGACTGAACAAACAAAAATCTCAAAGCAAAAAACGTGTTCAACTGAAACGCCCAAAAAATCCCCTTAAAAAGCAAGCTAAGAAAATGAAAGTAGAACATGATGATCACACACAACCTGCCGAAGATTTTATAACAACAGATAATTTAGAAGCAAGTGAAGAGACTGAAATAGAAACTAGGAGAACTACTACGACTTGTACTGAATTTAAGGACAATTTATTTGATAGATATGTACTGGTTCAATTTGAGAGTGGAAAGAGAATGCGTCATTTTGTAGGAAAAGTGATAATGGTAAATGACAATGAAAGAAAATATAAAGTAGATTTTCTTAGAAAAAAAATCCGTTGTGGAAAATGTTGTCAATTTTGCAAAACCAATAGTGCCAGATATTGCAGAAGTTGATTTCGATGATATTAAACGTGTATTCGGTACACCGAATATTTCTAGGCGCGGATTAATTTGTTTTGACGATTTAGTATTTAAAGATATTGAATAATAATTGTTTTAATTCTTTTGATATTTTTTATAGTGAGAAAAAATGTACTGCTGATTACGCTTATCTCACACTTTATGGTTAGTTTTTAAATTAATAATACCATTAACCGGTTTAGTTATTTTTAGAATGTGAAGAGATTAAGGTATCATATTTTTGTTACGCTTATTGTTGATTAGTTATATTGTAAGCTTAAGGTTTAATTTGATAAGTTTCATAAAAATTGTTTTTATTTGATTTAGGTACAACATGTTTTTTTAATCTTTGTTAATTATATATTTTTATAACCAATGATGATTCTAGTCCGCTATTGTTTTAATTATCTAGGTAGAACATAAAGTTCTTAATTAAAAGTGATACCTAAAGCCTAATTTGTAAGAGTAAAGACTGAAATAATGTATCTACTAATGTGATTACCTAGTTGGAATTAAGAGTAGTATGTCGAATAGCATGTAACGGCTACGTTGATTATTCTGTGATTTTAATGTGCCTACAATTTAAATAAAAGTTATGTTTTCGTTTTATTCTCTTTTTATTTTTTTTATATTTCCCACTGTGTTTTTATAAATATGCCTACACCATCGCTTTCAAATTCATAGTTATATTATTCAAAGAAGTATATAAATTATAAAACCTCATTTACATTTAATAAATAATCAGAAACTTGTGATTTCTAGCTTAATTAGTATCAACAGAAAACGTTCATTCATTGGAGTTTAAAATATTCATGCACTGGATTTTGGTGTTCATTTACTGGTGATTTTGGGTGCTTTGGCATAAAATGTCGATTATCTTAGTAATTATGTCCTTTAACGGCAGATTGCCCATATAATATTAAACTTGAATAAATTTTGAATGTAATAGAGTGGCATTATTAAAGCACAGCCACCCATATATAGATGCTTATAATTTTCAAAGTTTGAAATTGCCTTAAGGGTTCATTCATTGGTGCACTTACCCTATATTATGGTTGTAGCACGAATGGGTCGGCTCGACCAGGAAAGGACCACGCTCTCACAGAACAACAGCGTAAAATAGCAGCTTAATACCGCTGTGTTTAATAACCCCTTTTTTACTGGGAAACATTCCATCTTAGTCCGCAGGGGTGACAACGCATCTCCGTTTTGATTCTTAATCGAGGATAAATGTGGATGTCTATGGGCCACAGCATCTACTTGCCATCAGATGGACTGTGTGTTTGTTTGTAACCCTTAATCTATAAAAAAGTTTTATTTCAAAATATGTTTCGCTTACCCTACCCAACTGGTTTTAAATGACATCTATGACGTCACAATATGGCGTCAGGTCCTAGTCTTATTTGAATCGCATAGAATATGACTTACTCGGCCAATAGTTGATTCATAGAGAATTATAATCTCATTAGTGTTTTGAATTTTCTTACAGTAATATAAAATCTCTTAACAAATAAGCGGTTTATATAAAATATTTGGTTATACAAATACCTAACCAATTTTAAGATGTAATTTCACACACCTATATAGTAATTAACAATCACATAACACAACTACAAACAAGCAACAAAAAATGAAACAAATACATCTCTGTCTTACAACTAAAAATACCAGTGATAAAAATACTAAATAAATAATAACAAAGGCAAAAAAATCACCGGAATGGGATTTAAAAGTAACTAAATATCATTTGGTATAACATTTTCAAATTTATCTGTAGGTCATAAAAACGTCAAAAATAGCAACTCATACTCTGGCGGCTTACCAACTCATATTCTGCGGGCATTCACATAAATCAGCAAAAGAATTACGGGAACGGCCAGAAGGTTCTCATTGCATCTCATAGATAGTGGGAGCAATAACAATTGTGCGAAATACATTTAGTATTGCAATCGGTTTCTTACAATAATAAAAGAATTAATAAAACCCAGCATTAAAACAAAACACTAATATAACATTTTCATAAAGTTAACTTGGCGACCTTACTAATAAGTATAGTCATGAAAACGATACTTTGAGATTTTTTGGTATGTGAAACCAAAAAGTAGTAAAGCAAAAGAATACTATCTTATGATAATATTATATAATACTGTGGTACATATAGGTTATCTATAGACAATACTGTTTGAAACTGACTTGACTGTCTTTTTGTATGTTGATTACTAACTAAAATTAGAAAATTTTAAGTCTACTGCTGTCAGTCGCTTTGTACGGAGTACTGCATTTAAAACGTGACCGACGACAGTTAAAGTGTTAACATTTCCCAATCCTTGTGGCACAGCTTTAAATAGAATAAACAAATAAATACGATAAATAGCCTTGAGTTTTCTTTTTTAATTAAAATAATAATTGTTCTGTTACTCATTAATCTCCATTTAGTATTATGTAATTTATTTTGCTTAATTTAAAATAAAATTACGCAATATTACAAACATAATTAATTATTATCATATTTTTTGATTTAGCAAAAGCAGAGCTAATATTTATAACGATATTTCTTAATATTATTAACATGAACTAAATCATTTCAATTAACAGGAAAAATATTATTTTAAATTTTTAAAGAAATGCTTTGTAACATTGAATATAATTTTATAAATAATAAAAACCTTTAACAAAAAGTAAAAACCAACTTCTAGTTACTAAAAAAAGAAGTTATTTATTTGCTTCCCTGAGGGGTGGAATTTTTTCTCTAACATTGCTTCCATATAAATTGAAGTATAAACTAATGATTTCTTAAATTTACGCGAATACTACACATTGAATAAAACTATCATTTACGGATTTTATCGCGTTTAATTACAACTTTAAATAAAATTTTTTATTATCCCGACGTTTACCACTGCAAGACTTCATGATACTATAAGTTCGTTTTGCGTAAATCGGACCAAAAATTAATATTCAAAAACTGAAGGTAGCCGGACTAACTATGACATTGGGACGTCAAACATCTCAGTCCCCCCCCGTGACCATGGTTGCTGTGAAGCACCCGAAACGTCGTGATAGTAAAAAATAAATTAAAGTTGTAATTAAACGCGATAACATCCGTAAATAATAGTTTTATTCAATGAAGTATAACCTTTTTAATAAAAAAGAATCATCAAAATTAGTTCACAATCTGCAAAGATATCGCGTAACCATACATACAAAAAAACAACATAAAATCACAATCGAATTGAGAACCTCCTCCTTTTCGAAGTCGGTTAATAAAAACAATGTTAATTTATCAATCAGATTCAATTTTGATGTACAATTGACTATTAATTACTCTCTCTAGTACTAGTACCAACATTATATATTCTAATTGTTTGAATAAATAATACAGTACAATAATTGTTCTGAACATAGCTGCTAATAACGACTAAATTTCCTTATTGCTAGACTGTCTTACTTACTTACTTATCTTCACGCACAATCCCTAACGGGGTAGCCAGAGAGAACAGATCGCCAAGTGTCACGATCCTTACATACCTCTTTCGCTTCTTTCAGGTTCATTAACTTCTTCATACATGCACGTCTAGGTATCCGAGTACTCTTGACCCTCCCCTCTTCGAGCAATTTGCTCACATGGTCTTCGAAAGTTAGTCTCGGTCTACCTCGACACCTTTTAATATTTACTTTCGCTCTATATATTTTCTTCACCATTCGGTCTTCACTCATTCGTTCAACGTGCCCAAACCATTGGAGTACGCCCCTATCAATTTTTGTGATAAGGTCATCTTTCAATCCTGCCATATTGCGAATCTCTTCGTTTCGCTTTCGGTCGGCTATGGTAACGCCACACATTTTACGAAGAGATCGCATCTCCACTGCATTCAACTTGCTTTTATGCTTCTTCTGGCATACCCAGGTTTCGCTGCCATATAACAAAGCCGGTACCAACACTGCGTTATGTATTGCAAGGCGTGCACTCTTCACCACGCCTTGCTTTTTGACTAATGCATTCAGGGCACCATTGACTTTGTTTCCGGCAGCGACACGCCTATCCACATCTAAATCACATCTTCCATCCCGGCTGAAAGCACTCCCCAAGTATACAATTTCATTTACCTGTTCTAGACGTTCCTGATTTACCCATATTTCACATTTCGTTCTCTCTTCATCCTTTTCAAATACCAGAAGCTTAGTTTTAGCTAGACTGTCAACGATGTAAATAGCACTGCGAAACACTTATAATAATGCATTGGGTTTCGACATTCTTTAATAATTTATATCCAGCTTTATCGTGCATTATTTGAATAACAATTTTGATTACTATATGTCTGTATATTGAAAATGGCGGTACGAAAAAACAGCAAGAAACAGACCTAGTTAGCAAATATTAATATATAAATAAAGCCTTCCAACGACAAGCAACCATATCCACTCCACAATAGATGGCACTGATATACGTTTTCTAAATGAACAATAATTGTTGAATACAAATAACTACAAACTTAACTCTGTAGACCCTGCACCGCAACAATAAGCAACAACCTATAGCCTACACGAGACTCTCATGTTATACATGAGAACTGCATTGTCCCTGCCAAACGGAACCTTCATATCGGGCAGCACCGAGCTGATCAGTTGACGGCAATTATCCATTGTAGCTGGTACAAGTTCGAACAGTACCTCCTTTTCCCTGAAACAGAAATGTAGAGTTGAGGAATAAACCTTTCGTAATCACTATTACTATAATGAGTTACTACTACAATTGTCCTTCATCATCATCATCATCAAACCCTAGAGATTATTACTAAAGCTGAATTTGTAATATTTTTACGTGGTAGAACCTCGATTTAGCTATTTTATGGTTGTAACACGAACGGGTCGCCTCGACCGGGGAAGTACCACGTTCTCACAGAGTAACAGCTAAAAATAGTAGCATAGTGCTATATTAACCCGGTAGAGAATCGGCTGCGAGAAGCCTCTTACTTAATAATGATTTTAAAAATGATATATAAGGATTACCCCCAGTAATACGGTAAGGTTAAGCTTTGCCGCCCTTATAACACAAAAACAAGAAGGAGCACAAAAATTCAAAGTTTTATACTATAACTAAAATATTAAGGAAAATAAGCAAGCTATGGTTTATCAGGAACACGTCGAAAAGTAAACTTAAAAAAAAACTAACTCCACTACACCATACTAAAATCGACTAAATTATTTACTATATGTCGACTGTCAAAATGGCGTCGATAAAGCAGCGCACTATTGACCCTTTATTATTTGACTGACCGATGAAGAGCGATCGTATCACAAAGCCATCTATGCAAACAAGGCTATAGTTTTAAGGCTGCAGTACACTACTCGCGAAGTTCCTTGCCCGAAGTATTCCCAGAGGTCAGCCGAGGTACGAGGAGGTTCTGTACACACCTGCTCAACTTCGTGCGGAACTAGTCGTTCACACGCTAGGCGAGATGGACGTACAAGTGGCAGCTGTGTTTGGTTTGAGCCCTGTTGTGTATTTTAACTATGTGCGTATAATGGATGCACAAAAAAAAAACAAAAAAAATTATTTCCAGGGCCCCATATTACCGTTTCCCCTTAGAGCAACTCCAAAAGCAATAATATTTCCTCTTGTGACCAGTTCATTTTTAGTTTAAGCAATTTGGATCGAATTAAAACGTTTTAAAATTAAACAGCGCGACGTTAACTTTATAAAAGTAAGCCGAGTAATGTACAGGGTCACTTCGTGCTCGAACTCCGGTCCTTTGACTCGGGCGGAAAAACCGACTACGATCTGAAGTCACACGAGGCGAGGCGAGGTTGCCCCAAGGGAAGCGAAGTGTCCCTATACACACTCTTCTTTGCCCAACTTCGTTCAATTTTTCGAGCATTGTACTGCAGGCATTAAAGTTATAAGAACGAAGTAAAGTAAAGTAAGCGTAAGTTACCATATTACCCTCACATACTATAGTTATAATGGAATTGACTACATACGAGCTACCCTTGATTTTCTTTTAATACATAATGACAATATTTAATTGAAAATAAAAGAAGTTAAACATATGCCTGAATGCAGTCATTGTCAACCAAACTTCATGTACACCTAGGTGGTAGCACTCCATTTCCGACGAGGAGATTCCTCTGGTCTGGGTGGGTCTGGGAGTAGCGTTCTTTGTTTGGAGCTGGTTGTGGGTGTGAGGGGCTGCAGTAGGTAGGTGCTTAATATCATGTGGACTGTAAGTTCGTGTTTGCGTCACTTCAATTTATAAAAAATACAAAACTATGGTTTTAAAGAATTTATTGCGCATTCACATATTATCCATATCCAGCTATATGTTATGTATTGGCTCCTTATACTTAACGAGGCGAAAACAACATATTAAAGATAAAGGCTCAGTGTATTATAACATAAGCTTAGACTTCTTTTTTAGGTAAGAGTTGCTTTGGAAGAGATAAAGGAAGGAAGGAAAAAAGCAGGAAAAATTCACGCAACAGCACGCGAACCAAGTCATTAAGATTTTGCGACCGCTCGATATCCACTTGAGCTATTACGATCATTAACACTGTCAAAATTAACCTTCTTATATTGTAGTAAGTTTTTCATTTCCTGAAAACACGGACAAAAAGATATTTTCTAAAAATAAATTCTACCTAGATCGATTTATTGCCCCCGAAACTCCCTGGACACTAAATTTTATGAAAATCGTTGGAGCCGTTTCAGAGATTCCGATTATATATACAGGTTGTTAGTGTAAACACCGTTATCCTTGAAACCAGTGGTTTGGTTTCACTTATAGAACTTAAATTCTAATGAATTAAAAAAAACGCTATTTTCTTTCATAAAATTTAAAAAGTTTCTGTCCGACACCGTCCATAAATTCATGGATACCCTATGCGCCCGAGTGACGTAATCAC